CAGCTACTTGGGAGGCGGAGGCAGGAGATCGCTTGAGCCCAGGAGTTGGAGGTTGCTGTGAGCTGTAATGCCACGGCACTCTACCCAGGGGGACAGCTTGAGGCCCCGTCTCAAAAAAAAAAAAAAAAATGTGTGCTCAATAGCATTTTACTTATGAGTTCTGCAACTATGTTCATAATTGAAGCTAATCTATAAGATTAATTTTTATCTGCTATTTTTCTAGTTTTAACAGATTCTCCCACCCTCTTTGTTTGGAAAAAAAAAGGAACCATTTGATCTTGGTGGGTGTGGAAAACGTAGCTTGGTTACATAATTTGGATTTGTTGTTATTTTTGTGGATAGACCTTGAAAAGACTATTATTAATTTAAATTCTTTATGTAGTCTTATTAAAATCTTTCTCTTTCACCTTGAACCAGTATTAAGATTTTACATTGTAAAGAAAATGGTTGATATTGCTCATCAGGTTATTGTGATTTTAACAATAGTTTCTTCCCACCTTGTGTTACTAATATTGTTTGCTTGGGAATTGTTTTTTATTCTTGATTAATTTGGTTTGCTTATTTTATTAATATTTTCAAAGGACCAGATTTTTGATTCATTTATCCCCATTCTTGAGTTTCTTTCTTCTGCTCATTTTAAAAATTTTCATTTCTGAGAGAGGTATATTTAAATCTCCACTCTGGTTGTAGATGTGTCAATTAAACTACATGAACTTTACATCTAGACAGTTTTCTCTTTATTATTATAATTTTTTAAATTGAATTTCATTTTTTAAGACATAATTTTATACATTTATGGGGTACAATGTGATGATTTGATACACAATGTGGAATGCTTAAATCAAACTGATTAACATAACCATCACCTCACTTACTTATTTTTGTGGCAAGACATTTATAATTTACTCTTAGTTGTTCTGAAATGTGGCCTTGCACTGTGTACATTAGGCAAGATCCCACCAAATGTCCTCCCTCCTCCTTCCTTCTCTCCCCTCCCTCTTGCTGGACCATATTTGTGTTTTAGCATTTGTATGAATGTGTAAGTGTTTATATATTGGTTTCATAATAGTATTGAGTATGTTGGATACTTGTTTTTCCATTCTTGAGATACTTTACTAAGAAGAATGTGTTCCAACTCCAACCAGGTAAACATAAAAGATATAAAGTCTCCATCTTTTTTTACGGCTGAATAGTATTCCATGGTGTACACATACTACAATTTGTTAATCCATTCATGGGTTGATGGGCTTTGGGGTTGCTTCCACAACTTAGGAATTATGAATTAGGCTGCAATAAACATTCCAGAGCAAATGTCTTCATTATAAAATGATTTTTGTTCTTCTGGGTAGATACCTAGTAATGGAATTGTGGGATCAAATGGTAGATCACCTTTTAGTTCCTTGAGAATTCTCCATACTTCTTTCCAAAAAGTCTGTATTAGTTTGTAGTCCCACCAGCAGGGTAGAAGTTAGTATTCTCTTGAGAAAAAATTGCTGAGTTTAAGTTGGTATCAGAGGATTTTTAAATTAAGCTTACTAAGAAGCAAAAAAAGCTTTAGCCTGGTATATAATGCCTAATCTGTAATGCATTTCTTGGATTTTAAGAAATCCTTTAGTTAGAAGTTGGGCTAAACCTTATTTCTAGGTGAAATTATAATTAGATGTAAAAGTTACATTTATATTTTTATTATTATTGGTTTATATATTTTAAGACTATTTTTCCTGGTATATATGGCTTTGAATTTTTTTTACCATCTTTTACCATCATGTAATGACGTCCTTTATCCCTAAAAATACCCTTTTTTGCCTCAAGGTCTGGCTTATTTGAGGTTACATAGTACAGAAGCTTTCTTATAGCTAATATTTAGCTTTCATAGGAAAGCTACAACCCAATTTTAGCCTAAGAATACGGAGAAAGTGGAGAGGGAGGGGAGGGGAGGGGGGAGGATAGAGGAAGGAAGGGTGATTGCTGGGATCACACCTATGATTTATCTTATAAGGGTACATGTGAATCTTTCTAAATGTGGAATATAAATGTCTTAACACAACAACTATGCGAATGACACGACGGCTATATTGGCCAATTGGATGAAAGTATTTCAAGTTGTATATGGAAACAACACACTATACCCCATGAAAGTATCAATGTACACAACTATGATTTAATAAAAAAACAATACATGAAGAAAAAAAAAAAGATTTGTGGATTATATCTTTTTCTAGTCCTTTCCTCTTGTAACTATTTTTTGAGTGTGACTGTTGTAAAAATTATATAGCTGGATTTTATTTTAAATTCTAAACAGTTATTCTGGTTTTCTTTTCACAGATCCAATCTATTTACATATAATGAGACCAAGATGTTGACGCATTCTTATCTGGCTGGTTTCTGTTTGACATTTATTCGGTTCCTTTTTAAAACTCTCCTCATTCTCTCTCGTCCTCTACTAGGTTGAATTGCTATTTGTATTCACTCTATTTGGTATTATGCGTTCTGCTTTTCTATTCTTTAAATGGTAATACTTAAAATTTATGTCAAACTTTAATCAACATGCCTGTTATTCTTAATGCAAATTCTTAAGTTGTTTTGCCCATCTTGTTTTAAACCACAAAAATTCAGTCCCTAATGTTGTAATTGTCATCTTCTGTAGCTCATTTAGACTCATTTATGTTATTTTGCTTACTAGTGTCCCTGACGTCCTGCCCTTGACGCTTGTGACCAATTTCCTTCCTACTGAGATATCCTTTGTGAGTTATTCTTTCTTTGTCAGAATCTGAGAGTAATAAATTCTCTTCTCTTTGTATGTCTATTTTAAAACTTTCATTCTAGCAAAGTAAACTGAGTATAGAATTAAGATTGACAATACTTTTCCCTTTGCTTTCTGCAGTTTTAATTCCACAGTTGCTAAAGAAAAATTTATGGTTGGTTTAATTGTCATTATTTTGTACAAGTCTGTCATTTGTCTCAGGTGGCTTTAAGATTTCATTCTTAGTATTCCTCGGTTTCACTGTAAGCGATCCTGGAGGGTGTTTATTTTTATTCTTCCTGTTTGGGACTGGGGAAGTTTTCTCTCCAGACTCCTCCTATCTTTCATCCGTTCAGGGTCAGCCTCATATTCTGTTTACATGGTGCCCTTTCCTGTGTTTTTAAAATATATTTTCATTAAGGAATTTCTATCAGATCTATTCTGTTCTCTTTAAATTTTTTCCTGTGATTTTTCTGTTATCTTGTGTTCTTGGAGGTACTAATTCTTGTTGGCCTTACTCTGCGATTCTCACTGACAGTGCCTGTTTGCGTTGTGTGGCTTGCAGTTTTGATTTGGGGTGCATCGTTAATATTATCATGTTAATTTCTTCCGTGTGGGCATCTCATGTGATCTGGGCTGTAGGAATACCCCAGCAGAACATTTCTGGGCTGCCTTGCGCTTGGGTCCAAGGGGGTTTCTCTGATTTGGGACCAGTTTGGAGGTCAAGCTCTTGACTAGGAACCCCATTCCTACACTGGCATTAAAAGTTTGGACACAGGCCCAGACTGTTCCTGACATTCACACCTGGGACTTACTGGGGCTTCAGTGTCTCTAATTTCCTGACATCTTTTTCTCAGTCTTTCTTACCCCTGCTCTGCACTGAGACTTCCTTTCCTCTCTTTTCCGGGAGGAGGAGGCCCCAGGATCCAGCCTTGGGGGTCTCCCAGCCGTAGGCGCTCACTTCTCTTGCTCCCGCCCAAGCACCAGGCCCTCTCTCTGGGTGAATATCCTTCTTTTGTTTTTGCCTCCTGGGGATTTTTCTGACTCTCATTTACACTTGACCAGGCATTAACAAAAACTCCCCTGCTCTTGTATTTTATCCTGGATTTCTCTGTTTTCATCAGGCTGGGAGAGCCCTGGCAGCTCGCTCCAGGGCTCCTGGAAGGCTAAAGGGATCAGTTTGTAAGGGCCAAGCACCAAACATGTGATAAGTACCAGTGCTGGCATCAGGCACAGAAGGGGGGTGCGGAGGGGGCTCCGCAGATCACACTGGCTACCTGATAACCTCAGGTGGTGAACGGAGAGCCCTATGGGTATTAAAAACAAATGCCCACAGCTCTTTCACCAGTGACCTTCCTAGTGCTCAGAGGGCAGAAACTCTGTCCTTCTCTGTCTGGACCTCATCTCCATAGGTGCCAATTGCAGAGAGGACTCAGTCAGCATCAACTTTTGTTAAAGGAACCAGTAAAATGAACATTTTTGTCCAAGTTACATCTAGAAGTTCAAATGCCAGAAAAGCTGCCAAGGAGGTAACAAATACCGTCCTACCTTCACACCTGTGGTATAGAACCATATTGACGTCAGGGTACATTTCTAACAGGCTAAGCAGAGTCTGTTTGTATAGACTGGAGTTTAGCACAGCAAAGTTCAGCTCATGTCAACTGCATTCCAAGCCATCTCTAACTTGGCTAGGTATTCTTTTTTTTTTTGAGACAGAGCCTCAAGCTGTCCCCCTGGGTAGAGTGCCGTGGCACTACAGCTCACAGCAACCTCCAACTCCTGGGCTCAAGCGAGTCTCCTGCCTCTGCCTCCCAAGTAGCTGGGACCACAGGCGCCCGCCACAACGCCCGGCTATTTTTTGGTTGCAGCCGTCATTGTTGTTTGGCGGGTCCGGGCTGGGGATTCGAACCCGCCACCTTAGGTGTACGTGGCTGGCGCCTTAGCCGGTTGAGCTATAGGCGCCGAGCCTTGGCTAGGTATTCTAAGAAGGCTTTTCCCAAATGAACATTGCTAGTCCTTGGAAGGTAGTTTCAAGGTCAGCCCTGTCATAAAGCCGTCCCTCCAAGGGCAGTCCTGGCACATACCCAGCCAGCGCCAGGTGTTTTTGGAGTCACCGTGGAATGCTCTGACACTCAGGGGTGTGCAGGTGCTTCTTGGGGCCTAAGTTTAGAATCTGGGCACGTGACTTCACTCAAGAGAATAACAAAACACAGATTTGGCAGCACAGAATCAAGTGACACGAACACGCGGGAATTACCGTGTAATTTCGAGCGAGGGAGACATCTGTACCATCTTGCAGGTAGTGGGTTTCTGTGAAACTGCTGGCAATGAGACCTCTGTGGAAAAATAAAAACAACATAAAAAGGTGAGTGGAGCGTCACATAGACATGTTGCTTTGACTGTCTAGGCCACAGGGCAGCAAGGGCGCGGCCCCTTCTTATTTTACGGATCATCTGATGAGCCTTCCAAAGGGGCTTCAACCTGTTATCCAGGGAGAATTCGGGGGAGACCCAGACAGGGACTCATCAGACGAGCGTGCTTTGAACAGAGTGCACTCGTGGAAGGGCACAGACGTGCCCAGGCACACATTCTTCTACCCACAGTACAGGCAGATTTCCGATTGGGGAACATCACCCGCCTGGAAGTCGCAGGCTCTGCTGACCAGAATGGATGGCTCAGCCACCTGCTGGGAAAAGAGCTTTGGATCACTGCACCGCTCCTCCCTGCTGGTTCTCCTGCAGGTGCGAGAACCCGCTGACAACACCGAAATGTCACAGAAGGGATTAGAACAACAATGGAATGTCAAGAGCAGCGGTAGATGTATGAGGTGAGGAAAAATGATTTGGACACACTGAAATATTGAATTTCTAAGATAAATTGAAAGAGGAGAAACCCACCATTTCTCTCCTCTAACCAAAACCGTATGTGGTCTCCTGGGTCTCTGCGGAAGAGACAAAGCACTGGCTGTGCGGGTTTGAGACGAGTGTTCAGATTCTCACACGATTTGGCTGTTTGATCCTGCTCAGCATAACCGCAGGAGGTGCTCCTTGTGCACCTCCTGTGTGCAAGGTGTGGCTGCCAGGACAAAGCAGCCCAGGTCCTGATGCTGGGGACGCTGCGGCCTAGAGGGGTGACAGATGGAGCATACCCGGAGTGGGGAGGGCTGTGGCAGAGCAGGAGCCGAGTCTCTCATCAGGAACAGGTGGAGCACAGAGGGCGGGGAGGACTTTGCAGAGGGAGCTGACGACTGCTGGGCCCCAACAGGTAAAGGAGAAGTCGGCGGGCACATAAGGGGAAGGGAATTCCAGGCCGACCACTGCAAGGTCGGGAAGTCTGCAGAGTCTGAAGTTGCGGAGGCAGGATGGTGCTAGACGGGACAGGGTTTTAAACAGGACCTGGATTTTATCAGGACAATAGGAGACAAGCTTTTCAAATATTAACGACGTCAGTGCTGTCTGCCCACCTCTCGCCAGGTCTTCAGAGATGCTCTTCATACCGTTTGGTTCTGGGGGAAAGGGGAGTGTTATCCCCCCATTCCTTACCCAGAAGTGAACGTGAGACCCAGGCTGAGCCCACCCCAAATCATCCCTACAGCGAGCTTAGCGCCTGGACTTCTGGGGACAAAGTCTGTCCTCTTTGTCCTCAAGGCACCAAGAATGTGGCCGCAGAGCCTCCTTCGGCCTGATCCCTTGCTTTAGGAGGATGCTGGTTGGACAGAAAACAAAGCCATCACCCTGTGGGGGTAAAGGGCGGGGAGGGGAGATTGTCCAGGCCACCAGGGCTCAGCAGCACACAAATCACAGGGGAAGGTGACCCTCCCTGGTGGCCTCTGGCTGTCACATCTCCACCTACTCAGCTCCCTTCCTGGGGTGCCACAGGCCCTTCCTTTCCTCCCAGGCAGGCTCATCCCTGGGAGTGAGGAGGCCCTGGCCAGGGCAGGGGGCAGGAAGGGAAGCAAGAAGGGTGGTGGGAGGTGATGGGGCCCACCACAGAGGTGTGTGAAGAGGGCAGAGAGCTCCAGGAAGGTGAGGGAGGCTGGCGGGGTGGAAGGGGGCAGGGAAGGGGAAGGAACCTTCCCACAGGTGGTTCTGAAGGGAAGTGGAAGGATGGGGACGGGGGCAGAGCTGCAGAGGCACTGCAGAAGGATACACAGGGCACAGAAGGACACTCGCTGCCTATAGCCCAACCAACGCAGGACCCATGATGACCTCGATGGTTTCTAAGAACTGAGCACTGGACCAGCTTCAAGATAGCAGAGAAAGAAAAAATCTAATATATTTTAAATTATATTATTAGTACCTGTATTACTTACTATTCATTCATACTTTTATTCATTATATTAATAACATAATATATTGTATTAATAATTTAGTAGTTCAGGTCTTAATGCTGGATCCTTATTTGGAATGAACAGGTACATGGATGCCACACATTAAGGAGAGGGACTTGTGAGACGTCATCACTGTCGCTCCCACCAGGCCTCCTGAAAGCCAGTTTGGATGGGTGTCTGAGGGGAAAGCTCATCTCATGTGTGAGAGAGATGGAAACTCCATCAGGAAAGCCTGGGATTAGAGAGGGTGAGCTTTTGGTTAGACCGTCAGCAAGCTTGCGGTAGATGGAGTAATTTGGGGGTTAGCAGCAGTAAAACTAATTAGAAGGTTTTAAAAATGTGACTCAGGACAGCAACATGAAGCCCTGTGAATATTTTGTATGCCCCCCCAACCCCAGCTTTGCATTGTCATTCAGACATCACTGCAGTTAAACAGAAATACAGGCCCCGGCTCCTTCCAGCACTAGGGCGCAGGTGAGGACTAATCCGTTTCCTTTTGTCAAAAGAAGGTAAAACTGTGGCTGTGAGCCCAGAGCTGGCCCCTCTGCACTGAGGCACTCAGCAGAGTGGTCCTCTTCAAATGTTTCTCATGCAGTCTGGAAAAGACACGATGATTTGCGGCTCAGATGCAGTAACAGCCCTTGTGTACGTTTTATCTTCTCAAGACACTTTGACGGGAAGGGAGGGGAAGAGGACAGAGCAAGGGGACCAGAGCCAGCAAGAACCAATGCTCAGTATACAACAGACTCCTGAGAAACTCGGAGAGGGGATGTCATGTGCTCCCACCACAGAAACGGGAACTCTCCGAGGTCAAGCATCTGCTAATTAGCACCATTTAACCACCCCCCAGTGCACTCCCAAACAATACGCTGCACACAATGAAAACACACAGTGATCTGCTAGTCTGAATAAATAAGTAAATAGAAAGAAATAAATAAGAAACCACTAAGCTGATGCTGGGCTGTCCTGGCCCAAGCCCCGGTGCCCTGAGTGGGGCGTTCTGGAGCCCCTGTGTTGTATGTGGGGTCTGATGAGAGACCGAGGAGGTTCCATAACCCTGAGTCTGGGGTCCTGCTTCTGCAGTGGTGGCTCTGACAACTGGTGTTGTGTGACCCACACCCTTGACAATGGACCCTTGCTCTGGTTTCCTCCTGCACCAGCTAGGTTTCTCGTGGGCCCTGCCTGAGGAAACCCATGGGTGGCAGCCTGCTGTCCTCAGGATGGCATCCCTGCACCTCCCCACAGCTTCCGAAGTGCTCTTCCTTGGCCACCCTCCACTGCACACCCATCCTGCCCATTTTCCCTGTGGCACTTGCTATCCCAGCCAACATTGGCATCTGCTGATTCTAGAACATTCCACACCCTCTCCCACTTAGGGCCTTTGCACAGGCTACATCCTGTCCTTGAAACCCCCTTTACACGCATGGGGCTGGCTCCTCTTCATCCTTCCTTCTTGGTTCAAACGCTGTCTCCCCAGGGGCTTCTCCTGATCTCTGGCCTAGAGCAGCCAAATCACCGCCGTCACCCCACATCACAGAACAACTGTGGTTTCCTGTATAGGACTCCTGTTCGGTATGTTTGTCTGCTCACCTATCTGTGTATTTCTCCCCGACAGCATGTAAGCCACAGAGGGGTCTCTGTTGCTCACACCATGTCCCATTCTAGCCTGCAGAGCTGTAGCCCCCTCATAGTTAATATTTTCTGAGTACTTACTCAGAGCTAAGCCCTTTGTATTTCATGTAATCCTGACACTATCTAGCTCTATGGGTTACATCAGGATTTCTCAAACTTTTTAAACAGGGGGCCAGTTCACTGTCCCTCAGATCGTTGGAAGGCCAGACTGTGGGCCCTGGGATAAGGCGGCTGCTAAGCAGGACAGGCTGCAGCAGCAAAAACACCTGGTGGGTTGGATAAATGTCCTCGGCGGGCCGCAAGTGGCCCACGGGCCGTAGTTTGAGGATGCCTGGGTTAGATACTATTTTTATCCCAATTTCAGGGAGGGGACTGAGATACAGGGAGGCCAAGGTTACACCACATATGCAGCACTTGGGTAGCTTTGCTTCCGAGCTCACGCTCTACCCGCCCTCACCAGCTGGTCCCGTGGTGTTTACTGAGGGCTGCAGACCTGCTGTTCAAGGCTTGCATCAAAGTGTTGAGTGAGTGAATGACTAAATGAATGAGTGAACGGAGGAGAATTCGGCACACTGTCTTTTTTGTCCAGGGGGCCGACACACACCCCACATCCTTCTCCAGTACCATGACTTTCCAGGGATGGGGATGAAACCGAGACAGCTGAGGCCGTCTGAGATGTATATCTAATCTAAGAGGGGCTGGAAGCCAAAGGCCCCAGAGAAGACCAAAAAGTGCGGGTGGACAGTGACCATCACGAAACTGTAACAGCAGATGCCCTGCAGCTTACCGATTTCCCTAAAGAAAAAATACAATTAGATGGACTCTCTGATGTCAGCAAACGGAAATAGAAAGTGAACACGTAATTTCAAGAGAACGTCCTTTTCCTCTGCTTATTATATTAGTGGATTGAACAAGGCATTCTGTTTTTCTTGACACCAGAAAACAAAATGCTTTTTAACTGTAACAGGAGTTGATGCTTCTGCTTTTCATTTGCTGTTGCTGTCACAAGTGACACCTAAATATTCTCTCCTTAATCCTCGAAGAGCTCCCACTGGGGAAGGACACAGACCAGCATGGTCAGAACTCCATGATAAAGAAATGGCCTGGGGAGGTGGTTGTGAGGGGTGGAGAAGAATGAGGTAGGGTGGTGGGGGCGGTATGCTGAGAGGTGGGGAGCAGGGAGAACATTCCAGATAGAGGTGATTACACCCTCAAAGCCATGAGGTTACAGAAATGGCATCTGGTGGGCCATGAGGTTGGGGGATGTGAAATTATGTGAGTCACCAATGGCTGGGGTGCACAGCTCAGCAGGCTGCTGGCACATCCCACAAGTTGCCAAATGTCACCGACATTATCCTGTGTCCTAGTGACCCA